TTCTGTAATTGTTAACTGAATCCCAGTGTAAACATGATTTAGAAAGTTATGGATAAATCAAAACTTACATTTCCTCTTATAATCTTGTAATTAAAGGACGATTCAATGATTCAATTGGTAAAGTGTTTATAAGCAAAGAACTTTATATAAAGAGGATAGATTTCCAGTTCTAGTTGAAGAAACTTTGTTTCTTTTGTATGCAGTGCCTTTGCAAATTAGTTGTAGAGAAAAAGTAACTTTGCAAGTAGATGAAACTAATACTTATAATATTATGAAAAATAGCTTCATTTAAAATTGTAGGCGTAGGTCAAACGACACTAATATAACGCAACTATGAAGTATTAAAATTCTAAACATGTTATAAATATAAATATTTTAATTTAAAATTAATCAGATATAATTCCATTTCAGTATAGTAAAAAATTATTTAAAACCTTTTACCTTTTATATGATATTTATATACTTTTATTACTATAATTCTTTCTTTTATAGGAAGTGGTACTTTTCTAACTATATTCATGAAATATTCAAGTTTTAAATACTTCATGTAGTCTATTTTTATCTTTGGGATTCGGTTTTTTAACTATATTTATGGTTTTGATTGCCAAAAAAAAAAATGCATATAACATTAGAGTCATTAAGAGATTTGACAAAACATTTTTTATTTCAGACTTTTTAAATTATTTTTAAACGAGTTAAATATTGCAACATGTTTATAAATTTCATTTTTTTATTAAGGATTTAAAAATCAATATTTAAAAACCTCTTTACTGTGTAAAAACCTCTTTACTGTGTAAAGTTACTCCAAACTTGGTAAAGTTACTTCAAACCACAAAAGTATAAAAGCTATACATATACAAACTTTACTAATAACTCACAAAATAAAAAAAGAATATGTGAGTAGGTTGCATTTACATAAACGCGGTGGAATAACTGAGTCTTGTTAGAGTTACTGCAAGCTCCAAGGTGTCACAGTAAAGAAAAAAAAAAATTTAAAGAAAGAAAAAAATTTAAAAGCCACTGCAAGCTCCTAGCTGTTACAGAAAAGAGAACAGAATCAAGATCGGCTGCTTGTTCTAAGCATTGCGAAAGTCATGACTTTTTGTCACAACAGGATTAACTTTAAGTTTTATAAAATTTTAAATAATTTTGAAGTAACCGAACTTAATGATTCAAAAGTTCCATCATATGTAATTGTTGTCGTTTAAGGAGGTTTGAAGAAGGAAAAGCGTCAAGCTCTGCTAAACTATTTGACTTCTCAACTTGATTTCTTTTGCTATACATATTATTAACTCTTTTAAATATTTCCTGGCGTAATACCTTAGAAAAAGTTTATTGGCAACTTTGAGTATGGAAGGGGTCGTCCATAAATTATATCACGCCCTAGAAGGAGGAGTGGGGAAGGGTTAGTGGTTTTTGCGACGACTCATACAGAACTTATTACTAAAGAGTCACGATGTTGTGACGAGTGAAGGGGGTCAAAAACGGTCAAAAATTGCCCGACGTAATTCTTGGACGACCTCTAACTTATAAGTACGTAAAAAACATCGTATATTCGAAATTTATTAATTCAATTTTATAAATGAAATAAAACTAAACTAAATCAAGTATAATACAATTCAATATAAGCTAAATTCAAAACTTTGGTCTCGTTGGATTTTTAATTCATAAAAAATTACAAAATTAAGATAACGATTTAATGAATCCTTGTTCTTTAAGTTTCTTGATCAAAGTATCAACGTCTTCAACTTTGATTCCAGCGCTACGAACTGGTGGGTCGACTACAGAGACGGTTTCAATATGTGGTTTAATATCAACGGCTAAATCATCAACTTTCATAACGTCAATCTTTTTCTTTTTTGCTTTCTAAATTGACGTCAATAAATAAATTAAACACATTTTCAAAATCAGAACTGCAACGGAGAAGATTATTAGTGCTTAGCCTTCCCCAAAAACAAATCTCGTTTAGTTTTTATCATTCGTTATATTTTTAACAATATTTTATTATTCCACTAAGTAACTTGGGCTAAAAAGAGGAAATTAGGCGTCGTCTAAATTTTAAAAGGAAGATTAGTACTGATTAGAAACATTTTAAATAAATAATGAATTTATTCTCCTATTTATTTGTTAAAAAATTCCAAAATGTAAATATTTAAATTTTACAAACTTTAATTTTATTTAAAATTTAGTAATATTTAAAAACATCTATGAGTGAAATGTTTTAATTTAATATCTGGAAAGTTGTGTCTAATTTAAATATCTGAACATAATTTCAAGTAAATTAATCTTTAACATACTTTTGTAATTTCAACACATACTTGCGTTCATGCATAATTTAAGCAATTTGATCTATTTACACTATAAATTTGATCGATTTACAATAGTGAAGAAATATAATTTTTTAATATAGAGTAAAATCTGAGTATATCTGTGATGTAAAATTTTTTAAAGGTATGAAAAACTTTTAAATGAATTTTAAAATCTTTTAAAGGTAACCTGTATGAAAAACTTTTAAATGATACATTATTTTATATGCATTTAAATAATAGTAAAAAATATCTTCTCAAAGCAACATTATCCGTAAAATGTAACTAAAAAGTTAAAAAAAATTTTGACCGAGTAAGGAGATAAATAAAACAACAAATCTTATTCTATAAAAACAACTAAATAATTCACAAAACTTTGATCCAACTATTGGTTTCAAATTATTATATAGTGCGCTCAAATCAATACAATACTTGCGTCAATAATACAATAATTATGCATACATAATACAATACATAAACAAGCAAAAATAAGTGTACAAATTAATTGAAAGTAAAGAGCAAGCTGACCAAAACTGGGAAAACTGACAAAAACTGGTAACTGTTATTGATATGCACATATGTTAAATAAAATTTTTTTTTGGTCAGTTTTTTAATGATCTCCAGAGAGCACTGAAAATAAACGTTTTAAGAAAGTTTATGCTGCCTTCCTCAACAATGTCAACTTTCTCAATAATGTCAAATTATTGTGATTCAAACTTCAGGAATGTTCAACAATAAAGACTGCTCAACAATAAAGACTGACTGGGAATATATAGCGTGAAGAACTTAATTTTAAGACATCTTTTATCTTGCAAGTCCCTTTAAGTAGTATTTGTGAAATCTTAGTTAAATAGGACTTACTATTAACATTGTTGGGTATCTTAAATCAAATCTCATGATTAACTTATGTGTTTTTGACCAGTTTACTGCTTTTGATCGCAGCATTTAAGCTTTTAATAAGCGTTATTTGTGTTCTCAATTTTCAGGCTGGAAATGAAAAAAAAGATTACACAGGTTGTTGATATATATATAAAAGAAATGATACATAAGAAATGCAAACTTATAAATACAGATATATAAAAAAATATCAATAAAAAAAAAATGTATATCTCAATCTTAAAAATAAGAAAAAAAATAGTAAAGAAAAAAAGTAAATTTTAGCTCTTCCTATATTCTTTTTAAAATGCTTTGGAAAATTTTCTGGAAAAAAAAAAAAAGGAAATTTTTTATAGCTTACCATACACAATAAGGTTAGATTAAAATGACAGATTTTTAGTCAGAGGAGGAGGGAGTAATTTAATAATTTGCATTGTATTGTGCAGCAGATTGGCAAATATTTCATTTTGCAAAAAATGAAACATCAACTTAAAATAAATCGTAATCAGTGCAGTAAATGTTAAAAAAAAGAGGAGATTTTATTTTGATCTTGTCAAGACATGATTGACAACTTGTCAAGAGATAAAATTTACAACTATATATCTAACTTAGTTTGATTTAAAGCTATGAAAAAGTCATAGTTGTCAATCTAACTAAAGCAAGCAGAAAAATTAAAAGTACAATTTTTATTTTAAAACAAGATATTTTGAAAAAAACTTGTGGATGGTTTTCAATCTTAATAATTCCAAAAAACATTAAACAGAATATTAAGAGGCGTATTTTAGTATAAAATTAATGGTAAAGTAATCAGTAATTGAAAGCTGAAATGCTCAAAGGCAATTATAATGAAAGTATAATGAAATCTACAAAACTCATAGTATGCTACAGAGCAATAGAAACATATAAGTTTATTATATTTTGTAATGAGTTTCACCAGATCACACAACATAAAAATTTTCTATATATTGGAGTGTTATTACCTTTTTGCTGAGAAATATTGAAACTAGACCCCTTTTTTTTATCCTTATAGAAAATGTAAAAACAATTTTTAAACCTCCTTCATAAGATTTTTAAAGGCAAACCCACATAAATATGCATAAATAGTTTTTTTTTATTTGCATTTAAAACCTAAATGTCTTCCTAATCTATTTTTTTTATAAAAAGTCTTACCATTATGTTTGGTAAAGTTGCAAACCTTGGCTCATTTAATCTAAAAATGAAATAAAATTGTTAATTCTAAAATGAAACTAAATGCTAAAATGAAAAAAAAAATAGAACAACCAACCTCAAGTCGGCGGTAACCACACATGGCAGCTTTACACTTAAGTTTTCTAATCCTCCATCAACTTCTCTACTGACTTTTAGTCGACCATTATTAAATTCTAGTTTTGATGTACAAGTAGCCTACAAATCAAAATTTTCAAAAAATTTTTAAAGATCCAAATTCCACCAAGATAAGTCTTTTAATTTTATAAAAGTTCAGGTTTGACATAACAAAAAAAATATTCAACTTTTTTTTTTTAAATAATACACTTAATCACAATATATATATATATATATATATATATATATATATATATATATATATATATATATATATATATATATATATATATATATAGTTTAAATAAATAAATAGCATATATTAACATTTAGATACTTAATTATATATTTAGATACTTAATACTATCTATATTAAGTATCTAAATGTTAATATATGCTATTTATTTATTTACAGCTGCCTTAACAAAAAGCTGCCTTCATATAATTAACTAATGGTTTACTTTACAAACTACAATTGGTAGTCAATTTACAAGAAATTCTTGTAGAGGTGCACTAAGTATTGTGGAGACTTCAGTACATAGATATTCAGTTACCAATTCCCAAGAATTAGGTTTTTTTGCAGGCGGTATTTGTTTAATGGATTAGCATATTAAAAATTCAAGTGGGCATGTACATGTATATATATATATATATATATATATATATATATATATATATATATATATATATATATATATATATAAATATATATATATATATATACATATATATATATATATATATATATATATATATATTATATATATATATATATATATATATATATATATATGTATATATGTATATATATATATGTATATATATATCAGCACATACTTCATTAAAGTTAAAATATTTTATACCAATCAAGGGGTTTTCATGTTTACATTTATGTTTTGAATGAATTTTGATTATTAAAAAATAAACAAATTTTTAGTGATGAGTAAAACTGTGATTATTTTTCTATTTAGCTTAATGATGATGTCATAATGATGGCGAAGATAAAGAGAAAAATGAAGAGTTTGTAAGTATGTACAAGTCTTGGTTTTTAGCAACTTTTACTTGAGTGAGTTTATATTTAAGCATGAGTTTATAAATCATATGTTAAGTAAAACAGTCTTTAAATTTGAAATTTTTAAATAATTTTATTTAAAGGTATTGATATATTTTAATACATATTTAAATTTTTTATCTTTGGTGTTCATTTATTCATTCTTACAATCTTTTTTACATATTTTTTATCTTTGGTATTCATTCATTCATTCTTACAATCTTTTTTACATTTTTTTTATCTTTGGTATTCATTCATTCATTCTTACAATCTTTTTTACATATTTTTTATCTTTGGTATTCATTCATTTTTACAATCTTCAATAGTAAAGTTTTTTTTTAAAACAACTTTTTTTATAATAATTTTTTTTTAAAACAACTTTTTAAAAGTAATTTTACCTTTTTTTCTATTTTTTATTTTACTTTGCTTACAAATTTAAACATACATACTTTTTATTATAATCTTCATTTTGTTATTTCTTTAACTTTACCCTCATCATCTTGAAGTCAAAAGCTAAAATATTTTGTATTCGAAATCTTACTAAAATACAATGAAAAAAATGAAAAACATCAAAAGAGGGCTGCAAGTTTATATCAGTGAGTGAAAGTCTACATGGATGATGTCTGTAGTGATGAATGAATAAATATCTACACTGATAAAAAAGTCTACAATGATGAATGAGTGAAAGTCTACAGTGATGAAAGAGTGCAAGTTTACAATGATGAATGATTAAAACTATACAGGGATGAATGAGTAAATGATATCATACCCTTAACCTCTTAAATAATTAATGCACTTGAAGTATATTATTAAGTAGTAGATTGCAACTAAAAAATGTAAAATATACTTTAAAGACTTTTGGATGAGACTGAAATAATAAAAGATTTTGCAAAATGACAAGGTAACTTTGTTTATTTATAATAAAAAAAAGTTTAGCTAAAACTATTTTTTTAATATGAACCTCTAAGAAAAATCTGAGTTCTCCAGGTTTTCCTCAGGGGTTCATATTAAACTGAACTCCAAGGAAAACCTGCAGTTCTCCAGAATTTTTGCAAAAAGCCACCATTTTCCTAACTTTTTTAGGTTTATCGTAAATGGTTTAAAAACACTAGGGGTCCATTAAATAAAAGATACCAGTAATTTGATGGCTAAAACTGGGACACTAAATTTACAATAATAAATAAGACTATAATATAAATTATAATAAAATTAGTTTATAAAATAAAATTATAAATATGTAAGCAAAACAAGTTAAAATTGTTAATTAATGAAACCACAATTTAATTTATTTATATTATTAAAATAGATATAAAAATATTGATATAACATTAATATACCTGTGGAACATTCATAATTGCAGAAAGTAGTTGCCCTGTTTGGTTGCAATCATCATCGATAGCCTTTTATTAATAATTTAATTGAAAAAAGTGGTCAATAAATGTTGAAAATATTTTGCAAAATTATACAAATACTTTTTTTTTTTAATAAATAACAAAATTATTTATTTTTACTTTTTTTGGTTTGTTTTATTTATTTTATTATTATTAAGTTTAAAATTCTAGCTTATAAAATTCTCAAAAACCTGTTTTCCCAAAATGATTAGATCAGCTTTAATATCTTGAGCAACTTTTGCAATAAGTTTTGCAACTGCTAAAGGTTGAAGAGTTTCATAATCTTTATCACCGACAACTACATGGATACCTCTGTCCATTCCCATTGCAAGCGCTGTTCTTAATGTCTCCTAAGCAATAGAACAAAAAAAAATTTAATTTTGGTACATTAGGTACATTTAAGTTCATTTAAAAGCAAATCCTTAACAATAAAAGAGAAAGCTAAAAAATTAGCTTTTATAATTCATAAATATTACAATTAATGCAAGTGTCAGCATATTCCACAAAATGTTTGAAAATTTACAGTAGCTAAGATATTTTTTTGTATAAATTAATTGATGAAACGCAGTGTAAAATGAAAAAAAGTTTGATAAGTGATTGTTTACTATATATATATATATATATATATATATATATATATATATATATATATATATATATATATATATATATATATATATATATATATATATATATATATATATATATATATATATATATATATATATATATATATATATATATATATATATATATATATATATATATATATATGTATATATATATATATATATATATATATATATATATATATATATATATATATATATATATATATATATATATATATATATGTACATACATATTAATATGACATAAAGATATTCAAACATTATATAAAAACTGACCTCATTTTTAGCAGGTCCACATGAGATAGCAATAATTTCATTTGCAATATTCTTTTCTTTAAGACGAATTGCCTAAACATTAGTAAAAATACTTACTTCCTGACTACAGCAAAGAAACATTAGTAAGAATACTTACTTCCTGACTCCACCAAAGAAAACACAATATAAATCAAGAATGAAATAAAGTTTTTATTTTAATAAATTTCATTATTTTTTATTATAGAATGCTCTACATTACTTGACTTGTTGTTATGTAGCATCATATCATAGTTCAGCATCATAACTTATTTTTGAATATTTTTTTACAAATATTTTTTAAGAAATTCTTCTATTATATTCTTATTTTAAACTACACATAAATAAAATACAAAATAGATAACATAAACCAAAACAAAAAAACCCTTACTCTTAGCTTAACTTATCCAGTTAGTTTTTTATTTCAATGGTTAGTCTTTAGACTAGCCATTGAAAATAGAAGCTAATTAGATAAGTCAAGCTAAGAGTAAAGCCATATCACCCAATTTCCGCTGCTTTTAACTGCTTTAAAAGAACTCTGAACTATATAAACAATCTTTTATTTAAAGGAACAACAGAAAAATATATAAAATTAACACACACTATTTTTAATAAACGTTCATTTATAACAAATATTCAGACTTTAGGGCCCTAATGTTAAGGCTATATTGTTCCTTTTTTTTTTTAACATATTAATTGAATTAGTATGAACATTCTTCAACTTTTAAGTTTGACTCTTTGTACTCGCTAATGGTTACTTCATATTCACGTAACAAGTTAAACCCAACACATGCAACTTTCACAGATTTTAAACATTTAAAGGAAATACCTTCAGAAATAATGTGTTCATCTTTTTTCAGTTTTGAAGATTTTATTGATTCTTTCAACATTAATATTTTTTGCAGTTTTGAGCATTCTTTACCTTTAAATTGACCACCATGCAGTTTATGCCTTTGAAAACCTAAACTTTGCTTATGCCATCTTTGTATTTTTTGTTACCTATTTTTTCCATATAGCTTAAAATTTTTTTTTGACTTAACAATTTCTCACTTTTTCAATAATATTTAAACAAACTTTTAAAAACCTGCCTCATCAATCGAACATCAATCATCACTTTTAGAATGTAATTTATTACTGTCTTAACAAGTCCTTTAATGTTTTAACAGCAAACCAATTGTCTGAAATTTTTTTTTTTTTTTCAAAAAAAGTTTTCTGTTACATCAAAATAATCAATTTAAAAACTTATCTTCTTCACTTCATTTGTCTCTTGCATTTATTCCTATAAGCCTCTTCCCTCCCAGCTTCATACTCATATCAGGGGCTATTTTAGACCGTTTTCGACAGCACAGACTGTATTTTGGTGCCGTCCAAATTCAGAATCTTTTCCTTACGGCAGGTACCTGCATGAGGGGTACCGTTGCCTAATATTAACCTAAATTATTTTAATATTAACCTAAATTATTTTTCTAGAATAGCCCCTGTATAAGGTTACTATTACTAACAAGTGTTTTTAAACTTACTTATTTCCAAAATTGGAATTTTTTTCAAAATGAAAAAGCATTTTTGAAAAACTTTTTGATTGTATTTTGGCAAATGATTTACCTTTGGCTGCATTCTCAATTTTAGTTCTTTCCACCTCAAATTTTACTTTTAATACTTTTAAAGTTCGGCACCTCATGTATCTCAATATGAATAGAAATTGGAAAAAAGAGATGGGTTTTACTTGCTTGTTTTGAGGATGATACCCTAATGGGTGGTTTCTAGGAAAGAGCATTAAAATATTCAAAATATATACCAGAGTATTGAATCTTTATAAGGGTCTATATCCATTCCCTGACATAAATCTAGTATTATACTACATAATTTTCAATTTTATATAACGCTGATATATTTTTATACTCTCTTTTTAAGTAATTATGTGAGTCTTATTATATAATTGCTTCCATTGTTTGTTGTAATACTTCTGCTTTATTGTTGAAAATTACACAATTTATTAGACAAAAAGCATATTGTCTATTAAATTAAGTAATTTTGTTATATTATGTTATTCGGGTAATCACGTTATGCTCACTTTAACAATGGCATTCATTTGTAATTGTTTTGTTTTTTGTAAAATATTTTTGTATATTTATCTTATAGCTTTAATTAAATGTTTCCTATTTTTCATTGACAAGTTTGTGATGCATGAAGATAAACAGATTTATTCTGTTTATCGCCATTTGAGAATATAAACTAAATGTAAAACAAATATTTCCTCTAAAATGGCGTATATTTTTATAAACAAATAACTCCATTAAAAGAATCGACTTCACTAAAACGGTATAAATTAATTAAATAAAGTATAAAACAAATAATTTCATTTTAATGGGATAAATTCTGATTAAATAGAAACTAAGTGTAAAACGAATATTTCCAGTGATAGGGTATTAATTATATTTAAATATGAACTAAGTATAAAACAAATAATTCCACTAAAATGGTATAAATCACAATTTTATATAATTTAAGTATAAACTAGGCATAATACGAATTACTCCATGTATAATTTATAGTTAAATAAAAACTAAGTATAATATGAATATTATGAATAACTCCACTTGTAGGGTATACAATTTTAAAATGAACAACTCCACTAAAACAGTATAAATAATAATTTTATATAAACAAAGTATAATGTGTATAACTCCAAGAAAATGGTATAAACTATAACTGCACATAAGCTAGGTTTAAAACCATATAAAGTTTAGTTATATGTGAACTAGATATACAAATAACTCCAATTAAACAGAATTATAATTATAATTAAACTGAATAAATTGTAATTAAATATAAACTTAGTATAAAACAAATATTTCCAGATTAAGGCTGATTATTATTATTATTATTATAATTATGATTACATATAAACTATGTATAAAACAAATAACTCCACTACAAAGGTATACATTTTTAAATACTAACCACTCCAATAATGCAGTGCTAAATTTTAATAATTAAATGTATGTAAACTGAGAGTTCAGTTCTTATGACTACAAAGTTTACAGCCCCTCAAATTGAGGGGGTTAAAACTTTATATGGTCATAATTTTCGAAAAATAAGAGATTATTGCATGAGATTTGAAATTTGTTGATGAATATAAACTTAAATAAAAATACTAAAAAAAATATTTTATAAACTTGTTGCTCCCACATTAAGGGCTGGGTGGGCCCAATTGGGTTTTTTTTGTCCCCAAGCTCCAATCACCACAACTCTTTGCAAAACATTCTCATTTGACATAAGCATGAACACACAAAAGTTTGGAGTTTGCGCAACACCTGTAAGTGTCAAAACTCAAACATCTAAAAATTCAGTGTACACCACTGATGACATGATTTAGTATAAACTAATATAGTTTAACTAATATAACATAAACAAATATAACATAAACTAATAACAATTTAATAATAAACTAATAAGCGAATATTTTCAATAAAGCAGTATAATCTATAATTAGATACATGTATAAAATACTATATCTATGTATAAAATGAATATCTTCATTAAAATGATATATATATTTTATAAGGTGTAGGAGATATATGTGATCAGTGACTAGACTTTCCTCCTCTTTACTCCCTGCTTTTATACTGGGCACCTGTACAACTTTTTTAATAATTGTTTAACTAATACTTACTCTAATAAAAATATATCTTAATTTTGTGTGTGTTCCATAAAGTAACTGGATTCTTTTGGAGTCCAGTTGTGAAGTATATACAAACATCCAGGTTTTCAGCTTTTGTATTTCAGATATTTTATCAAGAATAAAAAGTGTTAAATTTTCTTTTCTTTTTGTGAGAGTGCAAGGGTGGGATAATCGTTGTTCAATAATAACCCTGTACCTTTTACATATTTTCATTGTTCCACGTGATGATACATTTACTCAAAGATGTCACAAACGCAAAATGATTGACATTTAGTACAAAAGCTTTTAGGGAAATGTTTACTGCTTAAATCAAATGATTTTAAAAGGAACTTATATATTTTATTCAACATCACACTTCCTTCTTTAACTTCTATCATTCCTGATCCTTTTGAAAAAAAATTAGGCAGACTAAGGCTCTATTATCTATGTGAGATTTTTTATTTTGAAATTATCTGAGCAATACTTAGCAAAATGTGGAATTTTTTTTTTTTAACTACTGTAGTGGATAAAAAAGTTCATACTATATAATAATAGGGCTGTACCGGATTTCGGCTCCGGCTCCTGCTCCGGCCGAAATCCGGCCGTTTTTACAAATCTGGCTAAAATCCGGCTCCGGCAAAAATTTAGCAAATCCGGCATAATTTTAGCCGGAGTTTTGAATTTTGTCAAATATTTATTACATTTTTTTTTGCCCGTGTTTACATGTATACCTAATATTTTATTTATAAAAACCAATTTTTTTTGTAATTATATATTTTATGAACCTCATATTTGTTTTGGTATTTGTATTTATATTTCTTTATAATTTAATAAGCTTAGTCTAATTTCAAACAACAACGCAACAAAAAATTCTGAAGGGAAGACACACGATATTCTACAATGATGCAGGTATAAAGACTATGATGTCAACCCTAATCAAGTGATTGGATGAGCGTTTTAAAAGCATTGAAAAGAGAAACCTCTTTATATACTGACGAGGCTGGTTGACTCACAATTTAAAACTAAATTCTCCTCATTAGAGGCAACACTGAGAGCTGAAAAAACAAGATTGAAGTCAATCTGAGCATGCTGAACAGAAGATTGACAAAAGTGAAGAAAATCCATCAAAATAAGCCGGGCTTAATAATTTTTCTACATCATCATCATCATTACTCTGGCAATTTATTGATAAAATTATTCAGTCTACGTCCGCTGATGGCAGGGCACATAAACAACAATTACTATAAGGCATTGAAACTCAGCTAAGGAAATATCCGAAAGAACCAGAAATAAATAGACACAATGATCCACTACAGTGGCGGAGTGACAAAATCCCGGAAAAAAAGTTCAATAGAATTACTATAAACTTTTAAAACATATGGCCTATAGAATTTCTTTAGAATTTCTATTAATTTATATATAGAAATTGCTATAAAACTTTTTAAATAACAAAAATGAAGTTTAACAGAAAAAAGCAGTCACTTGGTATTCAAAATAGTCCACATTGTTGACCATGCTCAGCACTAAGTAGGGATGTACAAGATTTTGGCTCCTGTGTTTTCTTTTGAAATCCGGCTCCGGCTCCGATTCCGGCCTGATCTGTCAGTAGAAATCCGGCAAATCCGGCTCCGGCCGGATTTGAAAAAATTAAATCCGGTACAGCCCTATATAATAATAATTTTTCTTGTGGTATATCACAAAGAAGAATGCAGGTGTGTGGTTAGTACTTTAAATCTGTAATACAAATATTATTTACTGTAATTAACATATTATTTAACATTTAACTTAAAGCTCCAAGGTCCAAATATTTATAATGGGGAGGGGCACTATAAGTATTTTTTTAAATTTCCAATTTTGAACCCATCTAGAATTCATATAAAACTCTTATATAGTGAAAAAATATTTTAACGCTCAAAAGCTATAAACTTTTCTTGATTGCCAATTTTAAACGATAAGAAATTATATAAACTAATCTATCATCTAGAATCTTGTTTAAGAAACTACAAATAAAATTTTTTTATAATTTTTTTTATCTTATTAACCTAATCCCTAATCATGTTCTATATCATAAAATAGTGCTGGATTTCAAAAACACACTTGTAAAAACTGTATTCAGGGGTTGCTCAAGACTCATGAACATTTGAAAGGTCTTTAAGTAACCTTTAAAATAACAAAATAAATTATTTAAAAACATGTAAATCTGGGTTCTCTAAAAAACAAATAAATAAATAACGTCTGGAAATAAAATCAACTAAAAAAACCAATAAAATCAACTAAAAAAACCTTAACCAAATAAATTTTTTCATTTTTATTTAAAAATGAAAAATTATTAGCATTAAATTCAAATATTATAGTTTTTTATATGAAATTATTTTTGAAATTTTTATATAATTTTGCTTCATTTGAAACCCAGGTTAACAAATTTTTTACTAACCTCCTCTACAGCTATTTCATCAAATGGATTCATGCTATGCTTAACGCCATCAGTTACAATTCCAGTTTTATCTGGCTTTACTCGAATCTATACATACATAAATATAAATGTATTTATACATATATACATTATATATATATATATATATATATATATATATATATATATGTATATATATATATATATATATATATATATATATATATATATATATATATATATATATATATATATATATATATATATATATATTAGGGCCCTGCGAAGCTTCGAAATTTCGAATCGAATCAAAAATAACGTTTGAGTTTCAATTCGAAAATTTTAAAAAATCGAATCCTTACTTATTTTGTTTTTGTTGTGGGTATTTTAGATGTTCTGCGCTTTGGCGCTATCAAAATAACGTTACTTATCCGTAAATAAGGATAAGTAACTTTTTAATCAGTCATTAAAATGATTGACCAGGGCAAGAAACGGTAGTGGTGTAGTGGTAAGAGCGCTCGCTTTGTAAGCGAGCGGTTCGGAGTTCGACTCCCACCACGTCCCTGGAAGTACCGTGCTCAACTTAATTTCTCCGCGCAGCGATCTTGCTTGTCAAGGTTCATGTTTCGGAGTTAAAGAGTTGAGAGAGGGTTGTACCACGATTTACAACACACACACAAAAAAAAAAAAGAGTAGCCTCCTCAACTGTAGTGGCCCCCTCGGGCCTTGGGAAGGTAAATAATTAAAAAAAAAAAAGCATCAATGATGAGATTATACTATTATTTGATTTTATTTTGAAATATATATTATTAAATAAAAAAAGCTTAAATTTAGCTTAAACTTCAACATGTTGATTCGAAATGTGATTCAAATCGCGAATCAAGACCTCCTTTGATTCAAGATTCGATTCGAAACAAAAACTGACAATTTGCGGGGGCCTAATATATATATATATATATATATATATATATATATATATATATATATATATATATATATATATATATATATATATATATATATATATATATATATATATATATATATATAAAATATGAGTGTGATAATGTGCTGATTTCTGATAAATGATTAATGTAAATATAAATTTTGATGAAACAAAATACATTCTGTTTCACCCTATATCTAAAAAAAGGTTTTTTTACCAACAACCATGCTAAAAATTCTTATTGATGAATTTGAAATAAAAAAGGAACTAGTTTTATTGCATTTTTCTTGATGAAAATGTTACATGAAAATCGCATATTGATTACATTTGCACTAAAGTCTCTAAAAATATAGGAGTCCTATATAAGTCAAGAAATTATTTGAACAAAAAGCATTTTAATCCAACTCTATAATTATCGCTTGGGGATAATATTGCTAAACTAAAGTCTCTAAAAATATAGGAGTCCTATATAAGTCAAGAAATTATTTGAACAAAAAGCATTTTAATCCAACGCTATAAATATTGCTTGGGGAAGTACAAGCAAAAGTAAGTTGCAGACATTTGTTGTACACAAGTTGCATCATTAGAAACACGCAATATGATTAGTTTGTTTTAAAAATCAACTTTTGCATTCAAAATTTTTATTTAAAAATATTAATGTACTTAATATTTGAATGTATATAAAATATTATGTATCATTTTTTTTTTTAAATACTTTTTTAAATAAGAAATTTATATAAACACGCTCTTTTGTCTTTGTATTTTGTTATTTTTATTTGCTTATATTTATTAAGGGCTTAAGTTATATTTTATTATAACATTTTATGGTTCTGGCAACAAGATCATTAGATCTTTTAACAGATACCAAGTTTTTAACTAGTCTTTATAAAAATTAAAGTTTTTATTTAAACTTCTTTTTTTTGTTGTTTTGTTGTTTTTTTGTTTTTTTGTTTGTTTGTTTTTTTATTCTTATTGATATGGTGATTATATCATTTATTATAATTTATTAAAAGCATAAAAATTCCAACATTTGTAAAGGTAAAATTTTATATTTTAAAAATAAGTAAATTATATATACAATAATATATATAAAAAATATATGTATGTATGTATATATATATATATATATATATATATATATATATATATATATATATATATATATATATATATATACACATATATGTATATATATATGTGTGTGTGTGTGTGTGTGTGAGTGTGTGTGTGTAAGTGTGTGTATTTATGTGTATGTATTTGTATACATATAAATAAAAATTAACATAAAAAATTATCACACCGGAACACATTGGTCAAAACAGTAACTTTTCAGCAAATACATCATTATTGCTTGCCAAGAATTTAAAACAATTTAAAAAATAAAAAAAGTGTTAATTTATTAAAACTGATGAATGAACTTTGATATTATTTAAAAGAAGAAAAAGTATGGATATTTAACAGCCATATATAAATATTTATGGTTATTTTGTATATATAAATATATATGGATATTTTATAACCAGATATAAAATCTAAAACAAAACTCAGTCGATAGACGTTAAGGATTACAGTGCTAATGTTTAACAAATATTTTTTAGGTTTAAAATTACATGCAATACTCAAAAAAAGCAATAGAAATTTATTAATACACAATATTCGAAACACAAGAAGTTATTAAACACAATACTCGAAACATACAAAAACTTTAAATAAAATAACACACAACACCCGAAAAAAAGCAATAGAAAGTTGATTAAATAGATCCTCTTATTAAAATACTTATCGATTAAATAATTTCATTAATAACAATGATAAACTCTACTTTAGTTAAGTAAAATATATAGTCACTCAATTTCTGCAAGTCACTCAATTTCTGCAAGTAAAAATTTTATAAAGGCAACAAATTTCAGAGGTCGTAAACATTTTAAAAACACAACAAATTTTAAAAGTCTAAAGAATCAGTAATCACCACTAATAAGGTATAAAGATAAAAATGTAAACTATATTATTGAAATATATTAAATAAAAACAAAATATATATATTTATATATATATATATATATATTTTTTTTTATATATTTATACATATGGGCATTTCCAAAAAAATAGCGGACAGAAACTCGCATATGTTTTGCATGTTATAACTTATAATACTCGCATATTATTTTGATAATAATAAAACTGGCGATCTCCAATTTGCTCTCATTTAATTCTCACCTATATAAATATTTTGTAAACAAAAAATGGTATACATTAGTAATGTTAACAAAGAATAAATTAAGTTTTAGATAAATTGAAGCAGAATCACGCACAGAACAGAAAAACTCAAACTTTAGTTACTAGATAAATAAATTTTAATTCCTCGGAAAATATAAGATTCAGTGTTACATATTTTTTTAAATAATGTTTTAAACATTAGTAAAGCTTTCCAGAAAATTACAGGATTGCATTATGTAACATAGAGTCACAGCAATCATTTATATGCAGTTCATAAATGATCACACACGGAAGTCACACACGGAAGTTGCACATTTATTAATTTCATGTAGACATTTTTAAGAAAATAAATTACTTGATAGAATTTTAAAGGAAAAATTATACTTCTACAACTCATATTTAATAAATTTTCGATGAGAAATGGCAGACATCAACTATTTCTAGCTAAAGTATAGCGTTTTGAAAATTGTTGTTTATTTTCAAACAGTAGCAATTTTATTATGCAAAAAAAAAAAAAAAGATCAAAATATATTTAATTTATTCAGGTAGCCTAAAATATGATAAAAATATTTTTGTTATAAATGTTTTTTAAGAAAATCATAATAGTATGCATATTGCTTTAAGTCCCAGCTTATTTGTTAAAACAAAGAAAAATAAAAAATCACACACAGAAATAGAAATGCCCATATAAACATATATATATATATATATATATATATATATATATATATATATATATATATATATATATATATATATATATATATATATATATATATATTATATATCAGGCTTGGTCGGGAAGCGGGAGCGATCGCTCTCGATTGCTGACCACGTAAATAATATTTAGTTGCGAAAAGTTGGCCAGATTTTTTAGTCGTTTTGAGAACATTTGAAAAAGCAAAAAAAAAAAAAGCGACAAAGAATAATTGGACCGATGAGAGACAATTACAAAAAAAAAAAAAGTAGGCAAATAAAATATCTTTAAACGCGAAAAAACTTTAAGCTAAATAAATTACATTTAAAACAAATATTTTCGAAACATCGCTTTTTTATAATTTTTTTTATAAAATTAAGCGATGTTTTTTGTAACAACTTACGATTGTTTAAAAGGGAAACAAATATTCTTTATTTAACTAAGTTTGCAAGTTTTAGTTTTACTTAAGCTAAATTATTTTATAAATAAAAAAGTTAATTTTTTTAATACCTATTTTATGTTTCGCGTAGTTAGAAAAGTTTAACATATTTGAAGCGATTCTTCTTAGTAAGATAAACAAATGAAATAATTAAATCATTGAATTACTAAAGGAATTAAATTATCAAGATAGAAATCAACTAAAAAGGTTAAAAATACTTAATGACCAGGAAGCGAAACTGCTTCACAATATCGCTGATGATATTTAGTGAGTGGGCTTTTTAATTTTAATTAGTATTTAAAGCAGAAAAAAGTATAACGAGTTTTAAGAATGGCAACTTAAGCGAAAATAATTAGAGTTAGTAAACCAATATCTAGAAACTTTTCTTTATATCTAATTATTTGCTATTATATATTTGTGTTCTGTCGTGACCTCAGGCGCGATGCTTGTTCATCCGCGAGTTACTTTGTATGCGTTGTTTGTGTTTAGTAACCAAAAACTTCTTATATGTTTGTTACATAATTAGTTTTATTAACTTTAACGATTATAACTTTGAAAACGCAATTATTTTTGTAAGTCTTTGTTTAAATCATAAAAATTGCTTCAAAAGATCAAAAGACATTACGATAAAAAACAGATACACAAAATTACATTTACATAAAGAATACAATCTCTTTTAAAATAAAAAATAAGAATATACAAATAAAATCTATGATTTATAATAAACTTTTAAAATGTTGACAATTTAATTAATATATATTTAAAACATTTATTTTCGTAAACAAATAATATGTATTCTTAAAACAATGCTAGAAATCTCAAAACGTAACAAATCGTGAATAATACAATTTCTAAAACATTTTAACAGAATGTATATATATATATATATATATATATATATATATATATATATATATATATATATATATATATATATATATATATTTATATATCTTTGCGTACTTAGTCTTGCATCATTGATGACATCATACTGAAATAGAGAGCTGTGGGGGTTTCAGTACATGCATTAACTGAAGGTCAGGTATTATTTAAATATAAAGAACTATTACTATAATAATTTTAAAAAATTTCTATATAGGGACGAATAAGTGATTTGTAGAAATAGAGAATGGAGTATAAAAGAAGTGGAGTATAAAGTTGATTTATCAGCAAATAAAACCACTTTAAATGTAAGATTGTCAGGAAGATCATTAATATAGATAAGAAAAGTAATGCTATACAAAAATTCAAATTCATTGGCTACCTAAGATACAAAGTTTATTTACCATACAGATAAAGTTATTTTTAAATTCTAACCTTTTTATCAACTGATAAATCATGTGGAGTTGATATTATTAATAAATATGTAGTAAACACATAACATAAGAATAAATTTTAGTAGATGAGCAAGATATGATAGCTCATTTGATCTATAGAAAAAGAATCAACCTTGCTTTTTTTTTCTGTCTCATTGGGCATATGACAAGAAGAACCAAAAACAACACAGTATATAGTGCTAAAAGTACTTTATACTGTGTATAATATATATACTTTTAAGTATAAAAAGGATAAAATAATAAGCACTTAATGAAAACCAATCCAAGTTATCACAACCCCAATCAATCATGATATATGAATATATGACGAAAAGTAGTACTAGGAGACTATAAGTCTTCAATATCAATTGCTAAGAAATAAAAAAATACGGACTAGAATATATGTTTGCACCATCAGCATACTCATTTCAATGATTTTGTTTATGACATCTAACAACCCAATAGATTTAACTTGTATATTAAAATTCAACGGTTTTGCTAATTCCATTGTGTTTATTGCAATTCTTGTTTATATCATACAAAATATCATACAACTTTACAAACTTTATGGTTTGTCAATATCATTAGTCATTTTTGAGATAATCTGATTATGTACTAAAAATTATCAGTTAGCATATGATAATTTGGATTTTATAGGTCTAAAAACCACAATTACCTTAATCAGTTTTTTTTTTTATATTAGTTATCCAGAAGTGTAGGTCTTAAGATTTAAGTCTTGAAACCTACATTTGACAGTTGAATATGAGAATCAAGACTTATATTCAACTGTTTTGTTCTTGAAGCTTGGAGTCTTAATCTTGAAAACCTTGAGTATTGAGCTTAGTCCTTTACAGTCTTGTACTTTCTTGATCCTTACAAAATATACCAACACAATGTAGATTAATAATCAATAACTAATTGTTGATCCTCACAACTTTTCACTCTAAAGAAGATTTGTACCTAGAAAGTCATGTAATCTATTTCTTTTCACATAAGTCTTTGTAAGATTGGTAAAAAATGCATTGTAAAATTAAGTGATATATATTGTTTATTTAACTTCATACATAAAGTACTGAAAAAGAATATGTAACCTTTACTTTGAACTTTTTTTGGTAGCAATCCTCAGGTCACATTTGTGTCACAAAACGAGTTTCCATCTTAGATGGAAGAAAAAATTAAACAAACTTGTCATTAACGCGTTTTGTTTAGTATTTTCAATATTTTAACAAACGATTAACAATAAAAACGCTTAACCAAACATGTTAATTCTAAAATGGTTTTTATTACACAAATGTGACTCTAGGGATAGTATGTTGTTATTGGCCTAGCATGTCTGCTGTATGTGTGCTATTTTTAGTTTCAAAATGTTATGGCCTCATGTCATTTTTTATATTGGTACATTCTGTTTTCAACAAAACAAGAAATCTGTTTTCAGTTAATATTAAAAATATCTTTTGTAGACTGCATTAATGCACTGCACAATATATGATAACATAATTATATAATACCTGTGTAATTACGTTTTATTATAACGTAATGTGTATAAATAGTAGCATCATATATCAGCTAAAGGCTTAATATTGTATATGTGTGTGTGTGCGTGTACACATTGTGTTCGGATTCCTAAAGAACCTAGGTCTTAATTTTGGTCTTTTGAAAACTTCGAAAGTCTTGGTCTTGGGTTAGGGTTGCAAAACAAATGTCTCTAGCAAGCAATTTTTTCAATCATTTACACAAAAAAACTCATAGAAAAAAGCGTACTTAATCTGTTTTGTGTAATTAAGTATGTGTATACTGAGTATTATCGTTCTAAAGATAATGCCATTGTTTGTTATAATATATTAGATATAATTTATACAACAACTAATAATCAATTAATGATTTAATTAATTAGTATAATAAAATTTTTTACTTTCTTGGCTCCGAAATAAAAGCGTTTTTTATATATATATATAAAAGATATAATATATATATATATATATATATATATATATATATATATATATATATATATATATATATATATATACATATATATATATATATATATATATATATATATATATATATATATATACATATATATATATATATATATATATATATATATATATATATATATATATATATATATATATATATATATATATATATATATATATATATATATATATATATATATATATATATATATATATATATTAGCATTAAACATATAAACTCTATACCTTAACAGCATAGTCAATGACTCTTTTACAACCTACTAGAACCTTGAGACCTGACATGTCTATCTTAATCTGAAACAAATGTTTTTACAATTGAATTATTCTTGGAAAATATGTTTAATTTATTTTATAATTTAATAATAAAGCTAATTAAAATAACATTTAACAAAAAAAGTTTAGAACATCAAAATTCACTTTAACAAAATTGCAAAAAAATAATATGTGAAAATCAGGAAAACGAGGAGGGGCCCAAGAAATTATTAAAATCAAAACATCATTAAACTATTAATAAAACATAAAGAATTAGCATAAACTGTTAAGCTAGGGGCTAGAAGGGTCAAGAGCCTTTCAGAGTATAGCGAACTTTATTCTATTTTTCGACAATTTTATCCGCTTCTAAAGGCCTAATTTGATTAAATATAAATATGCATTATAATGCAGCACTGAATTACCAATTGTCCGACATTTGTCGACGTAGCTGGGTTGAATTTTAAAATACGGCCCACGTCTTGCGACGTTTTATTTGGCCTAAATTTATATCTTATACTATTTTTGTTATTTTAGCTAACTCTCTACTTGAATTGTTTTCTATAACGTTTGATAATAACTTTTTAAGCTAATAAAGAATCTTATTAATCTCATCTGAAAATTATTACAACCTAGCAAAGATATTTGCAAACATGTATTTTTAAGAGTTTTTATGAGCTCTGCAGCCGTATTCGTTTCTCTGCTAAACTAAGGGTTGCAATACCAACCTACGATAATAGTGTTCAACTCGTAAATCGCAGCTGGTGAGTTTTTTACTAACAATTTTTAAAGGCTTGATTAAAACACGTTACAATACGAAAAAACTTTTAGAATTTAAAACGAAGAAAAATATCTAAAAAATTAATGTCTAAAGTTTCGCTGTCACGACGAAATTAGAACATTTTTTGGCAAATATATCTGCATTATTATTTTCCTATTTATTGATGGGATTGTCATTCATGTCCACATCATTTAAATCTATTTCTAAATTTTTCAATACAGCGCACGCAGCAACCAAGAAACAGATTCTCTTTCGGGTGTCATTCAAATTTCTCAATGAAGCAAATGAAAGCGTCTGTTCCACCTTCAAAACACTTATTCAAATAAAACCTTTGTTCTTCTTCAAGATATATTATAATGATACTGAGCGTGCTGTACTTAGATTTGACGTAAGAAACCAACAAAAAAATAGAGAGCCGAAATCACCAAGTATTAAACTTTATAAGAGTATTATCTAAAACTCTTTTACCAAGCTTTGGTTCTTTTAAATTTCTTGCGCTATGTGTGCTACAAGACCATTTTGCAATAACATCAATAAATTTTCCGTTGTTATTACACACCGCTTGGAAATTAATTAAATGAATTGAAGACCTGTTGATATAAACATACTCGTGGTTTTTGCATGTAAATGTTCGTGTAGTTTATCGATCCGGTCGGAAATTCTGCCACATTATAAAACTTTATTCTTTGCATTTTAAAAGAAACCTTTTTGTATAAGTCTATTAATTTTAAATGAACTTAATTATACCTTTGGTATAAGTCTATCAATCGTAAACAAAATATCATTATAAATATTAATCGGGTTGGTTCGGGCTCTAAATTTCGCGTCTGAAACCTCACTGGACAGCAATTTTTTGAAGTTTTACTTCTGCGAAAACTAAATGCACACAAATGAGTCGTTACGAGTACGAATGAGACTTATTGTCATTAAATATTCTCTATTCTAAATATTCTTTTTGTTTTAAATCTTATTTTAGTTATTCCATTTACTGGAAAATATTAATAAGTATTGCAACACAAACTTATTACAAATTACTTATTTTCTGGCAATGTTTAACAAATATCGTATTTGTTAAACATTACCAGGAAATAAGTAAGTTGTAGTAGTTTTTTCATTCATTATTCGTTTTTAGGCAATCGTGAAAAAGTTTAATAATTTATTACAAACAAATCTAGACTACGATTGAAGTATGAGCAACTTAAAAATTTATTTTAATGAAGCAACAAGTTTATTTATAAAATGTTTAAAAATAATTATTTTAATCATAGTATAGATTATTAATAGTTATTCTGAAAATAGGAATGATAAAGAAGCACCAATGAGTAAACTACTTTATAACAAAGGAGATTACGAGAAATTAAATGATTGTTTTAACGAAGTTAATTGGTCTGATAAATTTCTGAATTTAAACGCAAATTTTCTTACAACGTTTGGTATCAATTTATATCAAACGCGATATGTTTGTTCCTAGGTTGAAAATAAGTAGCAAAATGAGAAAAGATCCTTTAGATCTTATATTATTTTTTGGATTTTTGGATTAACATTGAACTAATACAAAGTTAAGTATTTATGTACTGGTCAGAGCATACAAACATTTGAATTTGAAAATCAAAAAAAAGTATCCGGGATATCAAAAGAAAGTTAGCACTGAATTCATAACTAAATCCTAAATCGGTATATGCATATATTAACAGCAAAACTTCTACAAAGAAATCAGTAAAATTATTAAATTGGACATATGGCACTCAAGGAGCAATTAAACAAACCATTACAGACGGTGCTATAATAGCGAGTACGCTGATCAAGTATTTTTTTTCAATTTTCACAAATGAAAATTTGACAAATATTCCAAAACTTAGTGATAAATTTAATTTTGAATGTCCGAATCCAAGCTTTATAGAAGCAATTATTAAATTTCATATTAACAAACTTGATGTATAAAAATCTTTTGGAGTAGTTGTGGACCTTTGGAAAAAAGCACACATTATACCCTTGATTGAAAAGAAAAAAAAACTTCAATTATCTAATTATCGTCCAATTTCACTAACTTTCGTTGTATGCAAATTAATGGAGCGTATTATACGTGATGAGATAAAGAAACATTTAGCAGTGCACAATTTGATAATAAAACAACAACATGGCTTCGTTAATAAAATAATTTGCTTGAATGAATTGATTTTATCACAAAATCACTTGCAGATGAATACAATGTAGATGAGTTATTATTAGATTTTGCAAAAGCATTTTACTATTATTAAGGTTATTAGTAAAGTTTAATTGGCTCGAGATTAGAAACAAATTATTATTGTGGTGTAAAAGTTTTTTAAGCTAAAGACTGCAAAGAGTAATAGCTCGAGAATTTGTGTCAGGATGGGAGAAAATAGATAGTGGAGTCCTTCAAGGCTCAGTTTTAGGTCCACTATTCTTCGTAGTTTTTATAAACGATTTATTAATTAAAATCAAAAATGAAGGCAAACTATTAGCTGACCATACTAGCAGTCATTAAATCGTAATCAGATAACTGATTAAATTGAAATCAGCTGAGGACTTATACAAACAGAATAAAAAGTAAAAAAATCGTCATAGATACCATCCAAGTATCATTTGACTGTCTGATGCTAAGATCTATTCTTAGATTACTATACCTTGTTAATCTATTTACAAAACAATCCTAATAATTTAAAAGAATAAACAGAGGGCTGGCAAATAAATTTTAACTTGCAAAAATGTAAAGTAATGATTTAAGAATATAACAAACCTAAATATAAATGTAAAATTGACGAAGTTACTAGAGAAAATAAAAGTTTAAAAAGATCTTGGTATTTTTATCTCAAATGATTTTGATTGGAGTCACCATATACTCTATGCAATTAATGAAGCAAATAAACAAATTGGAAGAATTAAACATGAATTTGAATTTATAGATGAAAATATTATCAGCTTATTATACAAGTCGTTAGTTCGTCCCCATCTCGAGTATGGAGCAGTTATTTGGAATCCCCATCGGAAAAGAGAAATTAATAGACTTAAAAAAGTTTAAAATAGAGCGACCAAAATATAAAGTCTAGTTATTTATGGTTATGAAGAAAGAAATTTAAAACTAAAATTGCCTTCATTAAAAAACAGAATAAGGTAGGGTGATTTAATCCAAATGTTCAAACTAGTAAAACACAAAAAATCACTTTCTTTAATTGATAATAATAAAATTCTTGCTTTTTATGAAGAGGTTGTGTCAGTTTATTTAGATATATTGTCTAGTGCATTAATTATTTGTGGAGGCTCAACACAAAACGTCAGCAAAGCATTATGTTTTTCAACCCATCGTGTTTCACAGAGTGAAACCAGTTGTGAATTTAGCTTTTTTTTTAAAAGTAAAATTCCAATTTACAAAAGCATTGAAAAAAGTAACAACTTTGCTTGTAACCCCCAAACAATTTCTTATTGCTTGTAAGTTCAAACTTTTGGATAAAGTTAAATTTGAAGCATGATTATAACATTAACACCAAACAGCATTTGACGCAATTTGTTGAATTTCAACTACCGCTCCGTTTTGCAATGACGTCATAACACTACAACCATCTGTTCCCACACTGACACATTTTTTTAAAGAAAAATGTTCCTTTTTTTTTAAATATTTTTATAACCGATTGGCCGATAACTTTGCCGTCAATAAAAGTTTCATTGTAAATAGATGCATTACTTTTAGTTTGATGATTTTGATCATGCAAATCAACAAATCCAATAAAATCTTCTCGAACTGATCCATAAGGCATTAAATAGCGTAATATTGTTGTAATTTGTGATTGACGTGATGCATCAGTTGTTTCGTCAAACATAAAAGCATAATAATTTGATTCTCTAACACAACTCACAATTTGTTCACATATTTCTTCTCCACTCAATTAATTCAATTAAAGCATTTCGTATAGTTTTGCTAATGTATGTTGCAGAAGCTCTAGCTGTTTTCAAATGATTTTCTAAATTTATATTGCCACATTTTACTCTAATTTTTAGCAACTCTCTAAAATTACCTTAATTTGTGATCACATCAGAACCATCATTGTCTCATTCTAATATAATAAGTCTGTCTGTCTAAGTCTGTCTAATAAAATAAATAATAAAATATAATAACATGCTTCTCTAAGGCCTCTAAAGAGAATATTTTGTCTTCCTAAAAATATCATTGTTTCAACAATAGGTGCCCATTGTTGACAGTTTTCTAAACCTGTTGAATCCATTGAGTGTTTACTCTGTTTACAATATATATTGCTGGTTTATTTTAGTTTTATTAAAAAATACCTTCTTTATTCAACAGCTTCC